ACTGTGGCTAAGCCAAACAAAATATTCCTGTAGAGCTTGGTTTTCGGGAATGTTCACACGGCTGTTCAGGAAGGTGTTGTCCACGCACACGTGCACTGTGAAGGTTGACCTTCTCGTGCGGCCTTGTCAGTTTCGGTGGCTGTGCTATTGGACTGGCCTCATCAAGCAGACGAATCCGAGGTCAGATGGGCAGCGGGGCTGATTCGGCGACGCTGCAGGAAATGCTGCAACACACATGCCTGCAGAAGATCTATCCGCAAAGGTTGGCACACCTGCAACAAGGGGTCAAAAGCCGGATCTCCGCACTTCAGCCTAATGGTCTGATGCGAATGTGTCCCGTGAATGCTTTGCCTACTCTTGGAATAGTCGCTTCTACCTCGTCATTCCGAAGTCGCTTCCTCCGTATTTCTGCAGCTTTGTGCGGATGTGAAGCATACTTAGTGAATCTAGCATTTAAACAGTTGTCCCCCCAGATTCCATCTCTTTCTTTCGCCAGGGCTGTGGTGGGGAGTTGCCTCCCATGGAATCTCTCTCCACCTCTCTCTCTCTCTCTCCCTTTGGTTTTGTCTACCTGAAACCTGTCTTGCAAACAGTGCCCAGCCTGCAGCAGCATTGCAGCTCCCCCTGACAGTCACAAATCAAGCAGACTTTGGCATGTGATGTGTGTGTATATGTGTGTATATATATATATATATGTGTGTGTGTGTGTGTGTGCATGCGTATGCGTGCTTTGTACGTGGCTTCTTTTCAACTTTAGACCCAAGGCTTAAATCTCTGGGCTTGGGCATTTTGCGTCCTGAATGGACAGGTGGGTGAAACGCAGCTACAAATGGCGACTGGCATCCTTTTGCTGCGACCTGCGAAAGTACCAAAGCAACACCTAACGCCGTAAACATGCCTTCAGGCTGCCGCAGAAAGTCGCGAGGGCCGCTCCGGCTGCTATGCTCTCTCATGCTTCCTAGCAAGCCGGGGCTGCTGGTAGTGCTGCAAATGTGTCATGGTGCGTTGAGAAAGCAAAGGCGTCAACTTACCGACATCTATATAACCTTAAACTCTTAAACCTCGATGCATTGCCTGGGCCAGGACAACGATGAGTTGCGGGACATGATCTCTATCCATGCCTTCCTTGTTGGAGCCAGAGCACGAGATCTTCGAGCGACTTCTTCAGAGCTCTCGTGTGGCATGGGAATCTCCCAGTCTCCCATTCAGATCTTCCCACAAGAACTTGCGGACGATAATGTGTTGGAGGCGCTGCAGCCGTGGCTTGACAGGTGGTGTTTAAGACAAAATAATGTTGTAACATTCTCGTGGCTTGCGACTGTTCGCCTCTCCGGAAAATCCAGAACTCGTTTGCAAATCGTTTGTCAGAGGGTGGATATTTGTACAGCTGGCCATACCGACAACTGAAGGTTTCTATGTGCAGATAGGAGATTGTTTCAGGAGTCATCCTGTGCAGCATGTCGCGCTAGTCATGCAGGCATGTCAAGGAAAACATGGGAAGAGCGCATAAGCCAGGCACGCATCAAGGTAGCTCCGGTGCGAGACAGCTGACCTGGGCTGGGTAGCTTAGAGCAGCCTACCAGCCGAGTTTCGGACTGTCGAAACAAGTTGCAAAACAGACACAGCTGCTAACGAATGCATGCACATGACCCATCAACGAGCCGATGATTGCTACAGAGCTGTAGGCAAAACTGCATCTAATGGTATCTCTGATTCAGTGTTAGTACAACTTCGGAACAGCACGTGGCTTCGTGGACAGTGGGGCTGAGCACGGGGGCGCGCGGCGGGCGGCACGGCGCGATGCTGGCAAGTCAAGCTTCCCACGAAGAGCTGGCAACACCCGGAAGGAGGGATCGCTATGCAACGTCCTATGCTCAGCACGCTCGGCTTTCAAGCAGATCCATGAGGGTTTAAACCTCCGTTGATGTAGAATCGTTGGGGCGGAGGGCCAGTGGCGCGGGCTTGGTCCGGGACCTGCAATGGCTCAGGATTTGCTCAAGCAGGGTGGAGGATTGACGAAGGGAAAGCAGGCTGTCGAACGAGTCTGGCTCCATCCACAGCACTTGCCTGGGATGAAAAGGCAAGGAGGAGCGAGGCTGAGCTGTGGTGATGGTGATGGAAACCACCAGCACCAAGGCTCAGCATGCTCAGCATCACTACACCTCCTGAAGCCACCCAGGCAGCGCTGTAAGAGTTCCAAACAAGTCCGACAGTCGGCGATCCCAGTTCCAAATTTCATGCATAAGAGATACAAGCGTTCCTGGATCTCGTGGCCTTGCATATCCAAGATTGCCAAGTAAGGAAGAGGCTCATGCCCACATAACCCACCAGTGGGTGAGGCTTGAGACGTAAGTCTAAAGTCTAGATGTCAGCTGCTTCACACTCATAATTTGCAAACTTTCTGTGCAAGGCTGCGTCTTCCGCCCCTGGGATCTTAAACTCAAGATGGTCTTGATACGAGCACCAGAAGGGTCGTCAGAATATGCGCAACACTGATTCGCATTGCGTGCGATGCTGCCTGCTTTGTTCGCACCACTGACCGGTTGGCTGATGGTCGAACAGCAGACCAGTGTCAACGGAATCGTCGCGAGGCACGAGTGAGCGTCCTTGCTACCGTGCATGCTGTGCTCACATCCCAACCCCATAAGAGACAGGTAAAGTCAAAGACCCATTGAGATGTCAAGCGAGCTTGCCCGTACTGTGCGATCCCAACAAAACTCTCCTTAGATTCCTGGACTGATGATAATTGAGGGTCGCAGCCTCTCCAGCACGCAAATTCTGCAGGTGAAGCCAAGCTGGGGCACTGGCTTCGGAAGGCCCTTGACATCCCCCATGATGATGTCACCCCTTAGCTTGCAGGACATCAGGCTCCTGAGGGTGCCACGGCATCCAAGGTCCCCATGAATCATTGCATCACACAGACTGAGGCTTTGGCCGAGGCAAGTCCTCGATGTTCCGCTTGATTCCGCTGCTGTGCAACCAGTACAAGATGTCAGTCGCCTGAGACGCGGCCAGCCAGAAGCATGTGAGAAAGTTGACATACGCGAATACTCGCGCGCAAACACGCGCACACACACACACACACACACACCCCACCCACACACTCACTCACCCACTCGCCCACTCAACCTCACACTCACACTCACGGACTCACGGAACTCACGGACTCACTGACTGATAGACTCACAGACTGATAGACTCACAGACAGACACAGACAAACACACAGACACACACACACACACAGACACCACATGCACGCACGTGGACAGATCGAAGCTAAGCCTAGCCGCATGCTCCCACTGCCTCGCTGTGGAAGGCGCACGCACCGCCGCATTGTAGATGAAAACGTTTGCTTGGCACCGGCTTTGCCCTCGGTCTTGGTCTACCCAACGTGTAGAAGAGTTTTAGAAACCGAAAGGCAGTTGCAACCCTGTTTACAGTATCCAACCGCAGAAGCGAAACCTGAAAGCTTGCTCAGCTTCTGAGCCGAATCCTCGAAAGGAGGCACCTTTCGGTCGAGGGCCCGAGCTGTTCCAAGAGCTCCAAGGCTCCTTCCCACTGCTGGCCTTTCTCACAAGCGCTGAGAACCGCGCCAAAGGAGACGATGTTGGGCTCGACCTGCTGGGCTTGTGGATCATTTGGGCCCGCGTCCTGGTCCCAGAGTGGTTCCGGATGTTGGACAAGTATGGACCCACTTCAATCACTCAAAGTCCTAGGCGAGTCTAGTTAACTTATTGCAGACCGGAGGTCTGAGAGATCCGGGTCCCAGCACAAAGGTGTGGCAGGGAATGCGGTTTCTTGCTTTCAACTGGACCGGCGTGGCCTTTGTTCTACCTTCTGGATCCTTCTGCATGTTGCAGCTGTACCCCCGCACCCCCCTCATGAAACAGAATCTTTTCCAACGCACGCCGGATTCCCATAGGGCGTCGAAAACGTGCAAGGCTCCTTAAGAGGACCAGTTTCAAGTTTCAACATGGTGATGGAGTGGGGAACGAGCTGCAGGTCTTCCAAACCTCCATAATGAGAAGATAACCCTCACTGCGTGCTCTCTCAGCCAGCTTCCTTGCTCGAGATACCTAAGTGAACCTTGTTGGCGGTGTGTCTACTAAACCCCCAGCAGACCAGAATGCAAGATCTCAGGCAAGCAACCCCCGGACTCGAGAGCCTCCGAAGGTCCAAAAGCTTCTTTGCAGTGGAAGGCGCGACCCCACTCAGAGCCCCGCACGCAAGCGCTCACCGCCGCACTGCACGTGTACACATTTGGCTCCTGAGATGCTGCGAGTCAGGGCCGCTGAACTTCAGTGGTCCGTGTGCGGATCGCCAAGATGGCCCACAAACCTCCCGCCTGTTCATGGGCTGAAACGCACAAGTCCAATCAACCATTCACGAAACCTCTCGCCAAACAAGACAAGCTCAAACGCTTCGTCCATTGACGACTTAAACCGTTCAGCCGTGCTACGGCTCTCTTTTGCAGCATAACCTGCAGAAGGCTCCACGCAGCAGCCCAGGCGAAGCCTTTAGCTGCAAGTCGATTCGCTTGAAGGGGTTCCAGCTGTCCAGTTTAGCACAGAAAGCCGATTCGAACTGGGCCTGAACCGAAACAAGCCTGATCAATAAAGGAGCACGGCCGAGACTGCACATTTCTGACAGAGATGCCCTTTCCACAGGCACTTATGCAGGCAGTGTAGGAAGCCAGCGCAGCAGGCGACTTCTGCTGCCTTCCGTCGGTGCTGGATGTCAAAAGGGGTTTTGGTCGACACATACAGTAGATGTATCATCTTCACCTTGGCCAAGGCTCTCTTCCGCCCCGAGTAACCAAACGGCGCACTGCCAAGCGGAATGTTTTCCACATGCACGGATAGCAGGGCTGTACCTGACGGGACAAGCGCAAAAGATCGCGGATGCACCTCTGAATTTAGGCTGCTTGCGACGGTGCACTCTGCCAAGCTCTTCAGCTTCCCGCACGCTTCTTGGCGCAGCTGTTCCTCGCAGAAGAACTCTGGTATGACGACATGCGACATGAGTGGCGTGAGGTCATCAGTAATGTGCCCGGCGATCTGTACTCGGAGGGAGCTGAACCCAAACTTGCTCAAATCAACCCAAGACGAGCGCAGGCCAGACCAACTTATGCCAAAGGCTCCGCGATGGACCCCGCATCCGGTGCCTCCCAAGGCCGCAGGGCATACCAAACTTCAAGAGCTCCATATTGGGATTGAGGAGGAGTTTAGAGAAAGGGAGTTTTGGGTTCGCCAGGTCCAGAGGCGGGCTCGATTGCTCGACGACTTGCCTTGGGTGCAAGAAAGGTACGAGTATCGTACACGTCTATGGTGTGTAAAATGAATCTTGCGACTTCTTGCTTGAGAAGTCAGCTTTGAGGAAAAGAAGGACACCTGCACATCAGCATGCAACAAAGCTATCTGCCCCCCTACTGCAGAAGCCATGCAGCAAGACAGAGCCGGGGGCCTCGCTCAACTTCTGAAGTAGGCTTCCGTCACGCACTTCCATAACGCCAGCGGCATTGGCATAGCCAGGGCGTGCCAGACAGGAGTTGGACCGTTTTTTAGGCTGTCAGCTCGCATCTGCAAAGTCATTCATTCTGGAGCTGCCCACGCATAGACTGCATTATAGTGATTAATCAATCTCTCGCGATTGTCAACCAACAATCACTGGCGCACGGCTTTAAGTATGGTACAGAGGTCTAACAGCAAGACAAGAAAATCTACATAAGAAACAGGACACCACGAGCCAGAAACAGAAACCAGAAGGGGAAGCAAAGAAATGAACCACCAGAAACAAGACACAAGAAACCGACGCAAGGAACAAGAAACAGAAACAGGACACCAGAAACAGGAAAGACATAGAATGGCAGAAACAAGAAACAGGTCATCAGAAACAAGACATAGAGCGGCAGAAACAGGAAACAGGTCACCAGAAACAAGAAACAGAATGCTCGAAATAGAAAATGGGACAGCAGAAACAAGAAGCAAGGTGCCAGAAACAAGCAACAGGACACCAGAAACAAGAAACAAGATACCAGAAACAAGAAACAGGACGCCAGGAACAAGAAGCAAAACGGCTCCTGCTCTAAAGTCAAAACCCTTTACAGACTTGCTTGCCCGCCTGGTTCTCAGAGCTGAGGCACTCGTGGCAGAAACCCTAAGGATCTGAAACATTTATGAATCACGGAGGATCCTGTCGAACCTGGAAGCTGCATGAGAGTCCACACCTGTAAAGAT